TTCAACGCCCGCGTCACTCGCTCACATCCACATTCTCATTCTCTCTGCAGGACTTCATCTAGGTCTGAGGGACCGCGGGAGAGACGAGGACCTGCTTCCTTCTCCTTCTCCTCCTCTGCTTCCCCCGACGTGAGATGGCGCCACCGGGTCTCCTCTGTCAGTGGATGCTCCTAGCGAAGCTACTGCTGGGGCTGGTGACGTTAGGTAATATATTTCAGGCTTCGTCTTTTTCACGGGGCCGATCGGTTTTTTTCCGACCCCGTGACGTCAAATTTTGAGATTCCGAGAATCGAAAACGAAAATCGGCCCCGTCTAGAGAAAATCAGTCCCGTCTAGAGAAAATCAGCCTCGTCTAGAGAAAATCAGCGCCGTCTAGAGAAAATCAGCGCCGTCGAGTAAATAAATGACAGGCTTTTTTCCCCGTGGTTTTCTCAGACGGCAAATCGTGGTAATTATTGCTGGCTTCTCCTCCGCATTGGCTCACTGTTGTATTTCGCTGCCCCCGTCGGTGCTCGGGGAGGGGGAGGGGGAGGGAAGAAAGACTTCGTCCCCGGGAGAGGGAGGGGGAGGGGCGGAGAGACTCCCCTCGAGAAGGAGGGGAGGAAAAAGTCATTAGAAGCGATCTTCGCGTAGTTTCGGTTCGACCGCGCGCGAGCTGTCACCTCCCCTTAGCGATTCATTATTTAGCTTCCTGATTATCCGTCCTTTATGACGAGAGAGAGAGAGTGTGTGAGAGAGCGAGAGAGAGAGAGAGAGAGAGAGAGAGAGAGAGATCATACGCCTCGTAGGCAACGACACGACTAACACAAAATGACATCGGTCGCACCAAAAATAGACGAGACTATGTTATCCTGTCACCTACCGATGTTGATACTCGTTGACGTGTTATTTGGATCGCTGTTTATTTTGCGCGTATGAGTTAGAGTTAGAGTTAGGATTAGGCGTGAAATTAGATTTGGGATTAGCGTTATAATAGGGTTAGATTATTATTATTTTTATCATCATCATCATCATCATCATCATTATTATTATTATTGCTGTTGTTTGTGTTGTTGTTATTGGTTTCGATTATTGAGTTTGATTATTGATTATCGGTGATTGCAGGCGTAGCACAGAAGGTGATCATGGTATCGAATCTGACGTGTTGGGTGTGCACGGTGGGGCAGCATGGAGAAAACTGCCTGACTATGAATGAGACAAGCTTACTACCACAACAGACCTGCCCTGTCGATCGCAAGTACTGCAAGGTATGCTAGCATCCCCTGCTCCTCTTCCTCTTCTTCGTCTTCTTCGTCTTCCTCCTCCTCCTCATCATCATCATCATCATCATCATCATCATCATCTTCCTTCTACTTTTTCTTCATCTTCATCATCATCATTTTCTTCTTCTCCTTCTTTTTCGTCGTCATCATCGCCTCCTCCTCTTCCTCCTCCCTCTTCTTCTTCTTCTTCTGCTTCTGCTTCTTCTTTGTCATCATCTTCATCTTCTCCTCCTCCTCCTCCTCCTCCTCCTCCTTCTTCTTCTGCTTCTTCATCTTCTTCTTCTTCTACTGCTTCTGCTTCTTCTTTGTCATCATCATCACCTTCATCATCTTCTCCTCCTTCTTTGTCTTCACTTTCTTTGTCATCATCATCATCATCATCATCATCATCATCATCATCATCATCATCATCATCGTCATCATCATCATCGTCATCATCGTCATCATCGTCTCCACTCTCTCTCTCTCTCTCTCGCAGGTGAAGAGGCGCTTCACGAACGACGTCGTCGACGCGTTCGAACGAGACTGCGCGGCGGAGTGCAAGCACGGCTGCATCACGGCGGGGAACTCTAACCGCTACGTCATCGGCGAGTGCACGACCTGCTGCAACAGCACGCTCTGCAACGTCGGCACCGGCGGCGCCGTGGGCCACCGGGTGGCGACACCGGCGCTCGTCGGAATCTTCGTCGCCGCCGTGGTTCTGAAGTCGGCGGGGAGTTAAGATGGCGGCGAGGCCGGTAGGTGGCAGCACTCGGCTCCTGACATCGGCGGGGAGTTAAGATGGCGGAGTCGCCCGGTTTGTGTGGCAGCACTCGGCTGCTGACGTCAGCTGGGAGTTAAGATGACGGAGAGGCCAGTAGGTGCCAGCACTCGGCCGCGGGATCGCGCGCGGAGGCGGTTATGCTTATTTTTCGCAATAACCGAAGAATCGGTGGCGCCCTCGTTCACGCAAAATAGTGCGGTCGAGAGAGGAAAAAAATTTTAATTTATTTTTCGGGGGCTACTTTTCAAGCTCGCGTGCATGAAAATACTCTAAAATTTGGTTTGCATTGAACTATATGCAAATTTCCGGGGGCTCTTTTTGGCATTTCCGGGGCTCTTTTTGGCATTTCGGGGGCTAAATTGCCCCGAGCCCCCGTGTATTTTTCTCACTGGGTCGAGAGCTGCTGCGTGCGTCAGCGCTGGCAGACGATTGTAGCGTGGTTACGATCGGCTGCAACGCAGCTGGCTTCCTGCTTCAAGCTCCTGGAGTAGCATAGCATACATGCCCCCCTATGGTAAACGACCCCCTCTACATTGCGCATGGGCAGTAGACGTCTCATATCCTCAAGATCAAGATCAATAAGCGATGTGCAATCAATGTCAAACAAGATCAATAATCGATAATTCAAAGCTCGAAGATCAATAAGCGATGTGCAATCAATGTCAAACAAGATCAATAATCAATAATTCAAAGCTTGAAGATCAATAAGCGATGTGCAATCAATGTCAAACAAGATCAATAATCAATAATTCAAAGCTTGAAGATCAATAAGCGATGTGCAATCAATGTCAAACAAGATCAATAATCAATAATTCGAAGCTCGAAGATCAATAAGCGACGCACAGACGGCACACGTCGTCGCACTGATGTAGTTTTTTTCACGATGAAGGCAGTGCAACATGGTCCCGATCCTATCGTGTCCATCCATCCGAAAGTCATATTGTGTTCACGCAGTGCTTTTCGCAGCTAACTGCTGCACATTCGTTGGCTTCTGTGAGATAATCTTCAGTGCATGGAGCTTGGAATTGTAGGCAGATAGGTATCAGGAGTTAATAATGATAAATAATGATAATATATAATAATAGATGCAGGGGTAGAAATTAACTTTTAAACACGAGAGCCCAACAGACTCCCTACCCTCAAAAAGTCCTAACCCTACCCTCAAAAAGAGGGAGTCCGTAGCAAAATGAAGGAGTCCGCAGTCTGAAGTTCAAAACTAAAGATATTAACAATAACACATGTGCTTATTTTTAAGATTCCTGCGGTTGGACATCTGCCAAATTTTCTTTGGACATCAGCTGAAAAAATACGGCAATTCCGCGAGGCCGTGCTCCGGAATGAACTAGCTAGTACATATGACAGAATTTTCAGGGAGTCACACAGACTCCTGCATATGTAAAATCAGGGAGTCCGACAGTAAACCAGGAAGTATTTGACTCCAGACTCCCGTTAATTTCGCACCCTGTAGATCTATCTGGGTTAATTTTTACTCAACCGTGAAGATTGAAAACGTACAGCTGGTGTTTCACCTCCTATCAGGCGGCTTTCTCAAAGCTGACTGAAGATTATCAGTTTTGACCACCAGATGGTGTAGTGGTCAACAGCTTGGTCCACACCCACTGATCTCTATAATATAATCGGATATAATGATATATTAATATATATATAATAATATTATAATATAATGATTATATTATAGAGATCAGTGTCCACACCTGACTGAGTGTACCCCTGATGGTAAACCTCTCCTCCCCACTACATTGCGAGATATACAAGGATTCTACATGGACACCGGCTTATCGAGCAAGGCGCATTGCGCATACATGGGGTTTGACCTTTATCACCCTTTATTGACTTTTGATCTTTATGTAGAGGGGAGGGTTGTCATGGGGAGGGGGGGGGGACTACGTATGCCACGCTACACCGGTTCATGAGTGTTTTACGCGTACGCTCCCAACTGTCGACCCTTCGAAGAAACTCTATTGCCAAGAATGAATACACTACTGTTACACGCGTATAGCAATACTGTTAACATGGGGGCAATGTTCCCCAGTGTTTTTCACGCATAATGCGTGTGTGCGTGTGTGCGCGCACGCGCGCGTGTATGTGTTAGTGCGTGCATGCGTGTTTGTTCGTGCGTGCATGAGTGTGTGTGTGTGTATGTGCGCGTGTGCATTCGTGCGTGCTAATATTAATTTATCTGTGAATCGCTAATTAGATGCCATGACGTTTCTGCTGCTACTCTGAACAGCAAATCTTCCTCACAATGTCCGACATTCCCTCTGTGCCTGTGCTCATTCACAATCTTTACATCACCGCTCTAAACCAGTGCTATTATTGCTGATAGGGTCTATCTCTCCCGGGGTACTGCCGGAACGTACCCTGGTACTATCTAATATGCCGGACCGTACCTCGCCTACTCCACTAACGAGTCTAGGGAATCGCCTACGCCTACTCCCTAACCCTAACCATATCAGATAGTTACCTCAGGTACATATATGTCACCTACGCCTACGCCTACTCCCTAACCCTAACCATATCAGATAGTTACCAGGGTACGTTCCGGTATACCGGACCGCGTACCCAGGGTACGTTCAGGCAGTACCCAGGGAGACATAGACCTTATCTCCGTTATTATTCACTTCTTTTGTCTGTTTAAAACTAAACGTGAAAATTATGAGGAAGAGCTGATCGACTTATTTTGCGTAATGTAAAACGTACCAGGCCGTGAATAAAAACAAATTGCTTCTACAGTCACTCATAGTAAAACACATCTCTCCCGTAAAGATTAATACAAGTCAACAGGTGCATGGTGTGCTTGCCTGTGGTATTACACCTTGAAATAATATACTAGTTATATACTTGTAATATACTAGTTAGACCGCAGGGGCGGATCCAGGGCTGAAGCTAGACAGTATTTTTCCAGATTTTAAGGGCACATCCCCCAAAAAGGGCACACCACCCCACAGTGGGCGCCGTTAGGCGCGGAAGCACATGGCGGGGGTCTGGGCCTCACCCCCAAACAGGAAAATGTCAAAATTTCAAGGGTCCCTGGGCACAAAAATGAGCACCATTTGAGCACACATTTAGTCAAGCAGCAATAGCTAAAAACCATATGGAATTTTATTTCTGCTTCATTTTGCCTGCGCTTTGCATACCAGCAATTAATGCAGAATGATTCAAGCACTTCCCTTCTTTTTCAGATATCAAAGCTAGTTTTGTTACCATGTAAAACTTTGATTTCCTTCAAGTCCTGTCAATAAATCAGAAGAAAAAGAAAACAAATAAAGAATATAGCCAAATTCCATCAAAGTATTTTCTGTATTTTTTAGCGCAAAATTTCGAAGGGCACTTTGAAATCTAGACCGTATTTTCCAATACGGCAAATACGGTCTGAATCCGACCCTGAGACCAGTGTATCTATATATTTCTATGGTATTACACCTTGATTCCAAGGAAATTGCTGTTTTATCTTCTGCAACGTTTGACGTTTAAATGGACTTGAACTAAAGAAGAATTTTTCACACTTGGGTATAGGAAGCGCATTTCACATTCAATGTGTTGTTACATGTATGAGCTTTCATGTAAATAAGTAGTAGTAGTAGTATATTCTAGTTACTATTAATTATAAATCGTCGTTTAAATTCTTGTGACAATTCCCATGCAGTTTTCTTCTCTACGATTCTTTCCAATCTTCTAGTGGATGAGCTTATGCATGTACACATATTAAAAGAGTTACGTAAGGCATTGGATCAAAGGATTGAGTTATTGTTAAGAATATAGACTGATAATCGCGATTGGGATCTAAGATTGCATATCGCCATGCATGTTCACTGCGCATGTGCGAAGATGTATCACATAATACTGCTGTTCTAAGTGCTGTTCATATAACATATCATATAAGTGCTGTTCATAAGTACATATAAGTGCTGTTCTCTGCAAATGTTTCGTAATAATCTTGACGAATTTTTTCGTCAATTATTGGTCAAAAAGAGAAACTTGGTATTATTTGTTAAAGATTGCCCCCCCCCCACCTATATTACCGCTGGCAGTGTGTGACATTGTGTGTGAATTTGTGATTCTTATATGTGAATAAATTAAATCTTTTTTTAAATAAATATTTGTTTCTTATAGTAGTTTTGTGTAATCTCTTTTCCATAATTAAGGGTTTATTCATTTTTGCTTTCTAAACTATATATGTGTACATATGTATGATGTACGTGCGTTCTTTCGTTCGTACTACCTAAAAGGCTAACTTCCTGACTTTACCCTAGCTAGGTCACACCCCATGCCCATGGCTAGCTATAGCTCTGGACGTTTATTCCTTACGGACTGTCCAGCAGGGCCCGATTTAGGAGTGGGCAGAGTGGGCATGCTGCCCACGGGCCTCCACAAGCCAGGGGCCTCCACATATTTGATTTAAAAAAAAATTGTTAAGGAAAAATATAGGCTGACCTGAATGACATGCACGCAACCCGTATCAATCAAACCCAAACCGTTGTTGTGCGCATTTTACATCTTACATACGTAAGACATAGCGCCATAACCCATATTGTATATTTGTTTGTGAATGGTATAGTCAACTACAGGGGGAAACGTACCAACGGTTCAACGTAGCCAATATATTCTCTCTCTTATTGCAGTTAACTTTTTTATTTTGCAAGATAGCCCTATCTATGTCTTGTTACCTTTTAGTTTTTAGTATTCTTTCTAAAGTAGGGTGGGCCTCCACTAATGATGGCTGCCCACCCACGGGCCTCCACATGTGATGGCTAAATCGGGCCATGCTGTCCAGTATAGAAGTAGAAGTAGAAGTACGTGCGTGCCTGTGTGTGCGTGCGTGCGTGCGCTGGCGCGTGTGTGTGCATCTACGAACGTACTATAAGGACACATCACAACTACAAGGACCAGACCAGCTGATACAGATGCCAGTAAATATTTTTGTCGTTAGGCGTCAC